GCACAAAGTCCGATGAAAGCAAACATCTTTGATTATTTCCTGGATCCAGTTGTGAACATGTCATCTCCTCCGTACTTTGCGGTGGATTTATCACAAGATTCTGCGAGGACCATCACACTCACAGGTGAAAACTTTCGAGCAGATCTTGGGGGCCTCGAAATTCGTTCAGCATACTTTGATGTGTTTGGCACTGTCATAACGGAAAAGAGTGCAATCGTAGTCCTTCCCATGATTGATATCCGTCCTGAACAGCTTATTGCGCTTGAGATTGAAGTCTCGATAAACAGAGCACACTTTGTACCTGCCGGTATTTTGTCAGCCTTTCAATGGCCGTCAATTATGGGTGTCTTGCCTTCTTCTGGCCCTGTCTCCGGAGGTTCTGCTGTATCAATTGCTATTTCCAGCATTCCCGCACAGGCCATGGATCGGAGCTTGTTCAAGATTTCGTTTGGCCAATACGACGGAGTGGTTCTTGACGTCAAAGAAGCATACTTGATTGTTGAAACACCCATGCATACAGTTGAAATAGATCCAACCTGGAAGATCCCTGGACAAGAAGCACTTGAGGTCTTTGTTAGAGGCATTCCATTTCGAAACAAATCTTCATTCTTGTACAATTGTTCTGAACAGGAAATCTCATCTAAGATTTGCTGTCCTGCTGGTCAATTTGGAAACGGCCTTTGCTTCATGTGTTTGGAAGGGAAGTTCGCGCCTGCTGTTGGGGCTTCGGCTTGTTTGGAATGCCCTTTTGCATCTTCCAGTCAGAATAGCAGTGATCGTTGCACCTGCAACGCCGGTTACCAGGGGCTCATTACTTCTCCTGAGCAAGCTTGTGTCGAATGTCCAGCTGGGACTTTCAGAACGGACAACCTGACAGTCTGCACAGGTTGCGAAGCTGGGAAATGGTCGACACCTGGAGCTACCGCATGTTCCGCCAACGTTTCTGAGCTCTGTCCAGGAGGGCCTGCCTTTGGGCCTGATGCTCTTGCTTGTTGTGAAGCAGGGTACTTTTGGGTGAAAGAGACTCTGTCGTGTCTCCCCTGCCCTCCCGGAACCTTTGGGGATGACAACTATCACCCGGCAACGCTTGACGTTTGTCAACTGTGTGAGGGTGGGAAATACACGAATAGCAGCGGGGCTTTGAATTGCACCCAATGTCCCATAAGCACCTTCTCCTCGTCCGGTCAGAGTTACTGCGTCGCTTGCCCAGTGGGGTCGACGAGTGCAGCTGGAAGCTCCTCACCATCTGACTGCGTGTGCGATGACGGGAGGGTAAGAAAAAGTTCCTCGCTGGTACCGTCGATGTTTCTCGATGCTGAGCTTGCGATCTGACGGACTGTCGCAGGGATTTGACTCGTGCCTGCCTTGCCCAGCAAATCATTTCTGGGCATCAGTTGAATCGCGACCCACCTGCACGCCATGTCCGGGCGGACTGATTTCACCAGAGGGAAGTTTATCATGGATGAATTGTTCTTGTGCGGGAGGATACATGGCAGAGATGTCGATAGACAACAAAACAACATGCGTAGATGTTAACGAATGTGATGGCGGCAATGCTTGTTCTTTGAATGCTACGTGCATAAACACGCCAGGTCAATAATTTTACTCACTTTGAATTCAAGGTTTCTTATGAAATCTTACAGGGTCATACGAATGTAGATGTAATCAGAATTTCTACAGCCACGATGGTCAATGCCGGTCTTGTCCGGAAAAGTCTTTCAGGCACAACCAGATCTCGAAAGTTTATCATTCCCTTCTGATTTTGTTTAGTGATGCTGGATCAACAAGAGCGTCAGACTGTGCTTGCAAAACAGGATTTGAGTGCTCTAAAGTGATCATTATCACTTCTTGTTTACTTCAATCTGATGGGACTGCAGGATGCATCTTACCAAGGGAACACTCACAGCAGTGGTGATCGGTTCAACATATCACAAGACATTGGAGGCGATCTCACGATATCGTTAAGGATCAAGGTATCACGTGCAAGAAAGAAGGTTTTTACTGATTTTCTTCTACAGCCTCTTCCCTTCCCGTTGCCCACGGTCAATGAGCAGAACCTGTCAGCCTGCGACCTCGAGGCTCTTGGAGAGTTTGTGGTTGCTTCCACAGGCAGCGATCCAAACTCAGTAAGTCTGAAACTTGACTGCCTGACCGATGGCTTATGTCGGATCATGATGATGCTGATGGCTTACAGATGTGGAAACGGAATCAAACTGCGCTTGCATGCAACATTTCTCATTCCCAGTGCAAGAACTGTTCTAGCTTCAACCAGGTCATTTTGCTTTCAGTAGTCCGCGTTGTAAGAGTCTGAGCAGGTCATTCTTGAGATGGAATCGCAGCAACAGGGTGATGTTATCAGACTATCTTTAGACGCGCTGAGACGAATGACCTTCGAGGTTCGCATGTCGAATGTTAATCGAAACACGCAACTGAGATCTGTTTCCGATAGGTCATTCCTCAAGCCGGCTGCTCTGGACTTATTGCTGTTGCTGAATTTCCAGCTCGCCTCAATGAATGGAGTTGGAATGTTGTTACTTTGCGCCCTAATGGACAAGTTGTTTTCTTTGTAAACGGTTCTCAGCTTCCAAGCACTCAGAATCACACGGTATCGCATACTCATTCGTTCTTTCCCTTGACTTTCTTGAGCAGATATTGCCAAGGACTGTCCGCAGAACAAGGAGTATTGTTGGAAATGCATTCGATGGCTCCCAATCCTTTGTAGGAGAAATCAAGGTAGGAGAGGATCTAACGAGATTTGGCTCACCATACCATGCAGGACTTGAACATCTACAATATGTCCTTGACGGATGCGGAGTTGGAAAACATTTTCATACTTGGCAACCAGACCAATCTCAACATGGCCAGTCACCCTGTTGTAGGCCTGTTTGAAAGGTGATTTAAGGTTGATCTATGCCCAAATTGATCGCAGTTTGTTTATCAGCTACTGCACAAGCGATTCGTTCTTGTGCTCGGATATTGACGAGTGTGAAAAGTCTCCATGTGGAGAGGACGCGTTCTGCTACAACACCTTAGGTAGTCTAGGAGCGAGACGGCAGTGAGCTGACGTTGTTGTCTCAGGCTCCTTCTTTTGTGTTTGTTTCTCTGGTTTCTACGGGGGCGGCAATGGAGTCTGCGAGTCATGCGATCAATTTAATGGAACCAGCCCCTTCGGCTCCCTCACGGCCAGTGCCTGTGACTGCAAGAGAGGATTCCTGCGGCAGGACGATGGGCGATGCCAAGCATGCGGTGCGGGCAAGTATAAGGAAAGCATAGGCTCGTTGGAGAATTGCTCTACATGCCCTCCTGGCTCGTTCAGTCTTGAAGGTTCTTCATTTTGTACAGCCTGCCAGGAGAACTTTTACGCGATAGGCGGAAGGTCAGCCTGTACAAATGACATCGTGGAACTTCAGTACAAGGTGACGTTGGGCCAAGATGTCAACTATGCGGGTTTGGAATTCTTGTTTCAGAGAATTTTGCTCAGCCTAGGGGATTTGTCGTCGAACATGTTCACAAATTGGATGGCATCGCCGGCATCTGACTCGCAAAGGAATGTTTCGTTCTCTGTTCTCGTTCCAAGATACTTCTCTTCAACGTATGCGGGTCGAGTTGACGCCAGTCTCTCAGCAGAACTAGACCGCGAAAATGTCTCGCTTGTGACACTGACCCACTTAGAGACTTGCGGGAGTGGAAGGCAACGAGAAATGCAAGGCGTCGCTAACTCTACTTGCATGTTCTGTCCCAAGGGATTCTACAAATGGTCAGCGGATGACTCCGACTGTCTTGCTTGTGGTTCGAATCAAAACACAAGCGATGAGGGCTCAAGAATGGCAGCAGACTGCTTGTGTGCCCCTGGATTTACAAGTAATGTCTCAGGTTTCTGCATGGCATGCCAGCCAGGCACGTTCAAAGAGGGTCTCGACATGGGTGTCTGCAGTCAGTGCCCTGCAGGAACTTACAACAGTCAGACAGCCTCTTCATCCTCCTCCCGCTGCGTCGCTTGTCCGCTGAACTCATTCTCTGTCCCAGGCAGCAAGGCGATTGAAAGCTGCGTGTGCTCTGCCGGATACACAGGGCTTGCTTCTCAGAACTGCAGTGCTTGTCCTCCAGGAACCTTCAAACCTGTGAATGGATCGCAAGAGTGCACAGCATGTGAAGCAGGCAAGTACAGTAACTTGTCTGCCTCCGGTGCGTATTCCTGCACTCCCTGTGTGGCTGGGACGTTCAGTACAAGTGCTGGAGCTTCTGTCTGCGACGATTGTGCTAGCGATCGGTCCTCCTCTCCGGGGTCAGGTCAGTGTAACTGCAAAGCCGGGTTCTACACCTTCACTTCAAACAGCACCAACTCGTCGATCTGTCTGCCATGCGGCCAAGGGAAATTCTCCGAGGCTCTCGGATCCACAACTTGTATCAGATGCCCTCCAGGAAAGTTTCACACCCTTACCGAATCCTCGTCATCCAGCGACTGCGTTGCATGCCCAGTTGGTACTTACAAGAGTCAAGGTGATGAAGAATGTGTAGAATGTCCGGCCAACTCAACCTCATTGAATGCTAGTGTGTCTGTAGACAACTGTACCTGTGCAGCTGGTTTCTCCAAAGGTGACGATCAAAAGTGTGCGCCTTGCTCTGCCGGCTTCTCCAAGAGCTCTGCTGGAAATTTTCCATGCCAGGCATGCCCTGCTGGGACATACAACGAAGATCTCGGGGCATCCTTCTGTTCTGAATGCACCGGAGCACATGTGTCGTCGCAAGCTGGAAGCTCTTCTGCTGGCAACTGCTCGTGCCAAGCTGGATATGAGCTGAATGGAACGAATTGTACTGCATGCTTGCCCGGGACCTTCAAGAGCAGCGTCGGCACAGATCCCTGCACTCCATGTCCAAACTCAACCTATAGCGACGCTTCAAACAGCTCCTCTTGTCTCGCATGCCCGGAACATGCGACGACCCTCTCGGAGAAATCGACCCTCTGCCTCTGTGACGTTGGACACGAGTCCATCCAAGGCTCCTGCATCGCCTGCACAGCCGGCAAGTACAAGGCGGACGTAGGGAACTTTCAATGCAGCTTCTGTCCCAACGGCAGCTTCTCCAATCTCAGCGCTGCTTCTGCCTGCGCTCTCTGCCCTCCGAATCATTTCAGCAACACAAACTCTCAGCATGGAGTCTCGACCTGTTCGCAATGCCCGGCCAATGCCGAGTCAACGGCTGGAGCCAGTGACCTTCAACAATGTCAGTGTGTTGCTGGGTATCAAATCAACGCGAGCGACAACTCATGCAGCCTGTGCGAGGCAGGGAAGTTCAAGAACAGCACAGGCAAGGAGGAATGCTTTCCCTGCCCTCGAGGCTCCTTCGCTTCCCTTGCTGGTAGTCTCACTTGTCAGAGCTGTGACCCTGGCTCGTTTCAAGATGCTGACGGAGCCTCTTCATGTCTTCAGTGCTCGAATTTCTCCTACGTCAACGTCTCAGGAGCCATCGCTTGTCTCAACTGTTCAGAAAACATGACCTCCTCTCTCGATCGTCGATACTGCGTCTGTCTGGCAGGCTACAGTCCTGATGGCATGTCTTGTTCAGCTTGCAGTGCTGGCAGCTACAAGGGGAGTGTAGGAGAAGGGGAGTGTCTACTCTGCCCCCCTGGAAAGTATGGAAATAGCGTCGCAGCTGTTAAGTGCACGGACTGTATGGACAACAGTCTTTCTGAGGCAGGAAGCACGGGTATCCAGCAATGTTTCTGCTTGCCAGGCTTCTACGGGTTGAATGACTCGTGCGTCCAATGCCCTGCTGGCACATACAAGGAGTCTAACGGCTCTCTGCCTTGTCAACTTTGTGCCGCTGGACAGTATGGTCCTGGCACTGCTGCTTCCAGCCCTTCGCAATGTCTTGCGTGTCCGAGGGCAAACCAAACCTCCCTTCCTGGCAGCGCTGACTTGAGCGCATGCGTGTGCATAGCAGGTTATGAAAGTGAGCCGTCGGGAGGGTGCGTTGCGTGTCAACCAGGATACTACAAGCCCAACAATGGGAGTGAGAGCTGTTTGCCATGTGAGAAGGGGAAGTACAGCTGGACCAGAGGTCGACTCGAGGAATGTGAGCTCTGCCCCTCCGGCTCCACGTCCCTCCAAGCGAGCACCAACTACACCGATTGCATCTGCGACATGGGATACACCGACAACCCCAATCCAGGTAGTTGTTCCTGCTGCCTTGTTGTTGCTTCAATAACACGAGTCTCTTAACAGGCAACAGTACCATGGCCATCGAAGCTGGCTCGAATAACAGCACCAACAACAGCTCAAACAGCTCTCTAGAAGTCGTAGGCACCAACAGCACCAACAACATCTCAAACAGCTCAAACAGCTCAAACAGCTCTCTAGAAGTCGTAGGCAACAACAGCACCAACAACATCTCAAACAGCTCAAACAGCTCAAACGGCTCAAACAGCTCGGGAGAGGAGTTATGGAGCAACAATTCTTCGGGATCAGGTCAGGCAGGTCCCATGCTTGTATGTTATGCTTGTCCGTCCGGGAAGTTCAAGCCGATGAATGGATCTGGCTTGTGTCTTAGTTGCCCCGAGAACATGACTTCGAATGCGGCGAGTACTAGTGAGCTTGACTGCAAGTGTAAGCAAGGCTTTAGACACATCGATTCAAGCTCGTGCGATATCTGCAGGGAAGGAAGTTATTCAGCTAGTGAAGGCAGCTTGAGCTGCACGCCATGTGAGGCGGGCTCGTTCCAAGACGCGGCAGGCGCCTCATCGTGCATGACTTGTCCCAACTCCTCCTACATCAACAGCACGGGAGCGTCTTCTTGCCTTGCCTGCCCTGCCAACTCCAGCAGCTCCCCGGGCTATCGCGAATGTCTTTGTGCTCCCGGATTCTCTTTTGATCCCGACGCTATGCTTTGCCTCCCGTGTCCTACGGGGACATATAAGGATGGAATCGGAAACCATGCCTGTGAAAGGTGCCCAATGAATGCTTCTTCGATGCCAGGAAGCACGTCCTTGTACGCCTGCGCTTGCGACGCTGGGTTTCAGGACTTTCCCAACTGCTCGCTCTGCAATGGCACACAGTACAAGTCTGACTGGGGAAACGCGTCCTGTGCCGAGTGTGAGACCGGCAAAATCGCGAACGCGGCAAGAACTTCGTGCACCTGCCCGATCGGCTTTGAGGGTCAAATCCTCCCAGCTGACTCCTTGGTCTGCGTCAAATGTCCAGATGGCACTTACAAGGGTGCCATAGGCAGCTCGGCTTGCCAAGCTTGTCCGGCGGGGATGATATCAACTGAGAGCCGCTCGTCGTGCACTTGCATCTCAGGTTATGAGTCAAACTTCTCCGCTCAGTCCAACGCCTCAGGATTCTGCATGCCTTGCTCCCCTGGCAGCTACCGAGACTCTCAGGGCCCTGAGGCATGCTCGGCGTGTCAAGCCGGCTTCTTTGCTGGCTCTTACGCTCAAACAGCGTGTCAAGCATGTTCGTCAGGCACGTTTAGCGACAGCCTGGGACAGTCGTTGTGCTCGCAGTGTAACCAAGGGACTTGGTCGCTTCCTGGAGGAAGCTCGTGCTTCAGTCAAGGCTTCCAGACACTTCTCGCGGGCAACCATCGGACAGGCTCTCAAGACGGCGCCGGGAATGACACGAGCTTCTCCAATCCTGTCGGAATTTCAGTCAGTGCTGACAGCCAGTATGTCGTCATCGCCGACTACTTGAACAGCTTGATCCGCTTGCTCTTCGTGCCCCTACTGCAAGTGACAACAGTCGCCGGGACATCCGGGTCAGGGTATGAGGACGGAACCTGCGCCATGGCAAAATTTGATGGGCCAATCGATGTAGTTTGGGGGATCGACAAGAGCTTGGTCTTGATCGCAGACTTCTGGAACAACCGCATCAGGAGCCTCAACTTGTCTTCTTGCTCCGTATCGACGATCGCCGGCTCCGGGGCCTTCGGTCAGCTGGATGGCTCCACCGCTGCCGCCACCTTTGCGGGCCCCTGTAGTCTCGCGCTGACGTCACAGGGGAGCAAGCTGCTCGTCGCTGAGTTCTCCGGGCACTCCGTCCGCATGATTGACCTGTCGAAGAACACAGTGACCACCCTCGCAGGCTCCGGCATCGCTGGGCTTCAGGATGGGGTGGGGTTGATAGCGCAGTTTACCAACCCATGGGATCTGACGGTCTGGGAGGAGGAGGGAGCAGCTTTCGTCATCGAGTTCCAGGCCAGCAGGGTTAGGAAGCTCAACTTGACATCCTTGGAAGTCTCCACGCTCAACACGTCCTCCCCTGTCAACCATCCTGCTGGCGTCAGCTTCTGGAGGGCCCTCGGCAGCAGGTGCCTCAACTCAAGTCGAGCTGGGCTCCTCGTGCTGGACAACTTCGGGCGAGACCTTCGGGTGATTGACCTGCTGAGCGGCGAGCTGAGAGACGTCAAACTCAACGTGTCCTCCTCATGGAGCCCGATTCCCGGACGAGTCCGATCCACGTCATACGGTGACTTCGCGATCATGTCAGACGCAGGGGGAAACGAGATCCTTGCTAAGAACCTCTTGTGCCAAGTGTGAGGGAAGTCAAGATCGTATCAGGACTTGCATGTCTCACAAAACTCATGTACATTAAATCTCAGTCAACTCTTCCTCTCCTTGCTAGCTTCTCCTGCAGGACTGCTGAAAACATCAACGAAGATTTGAGGGAAGATTGGGAAATCATGAGAGGAGGCAAGGAAAGGAACCAAGGAGAGATGAAAAGCAATGAATAGTCGAAGCAGAGGATAGGGAAGAAGAGAAGAGCATAAAGGCGAAGGAGAGGAGGACAGGAGAAAGACACAATGCGAAGTGAAAGGGATAGTACAGAGGAACGGGGAGAGGAAACTATGACACACAAGATATGAGACACAAGATAAGCAAGGATCACTTACATCGCTTCTTCGACAACTTCCATGAGTGCCACCAAGACTGCAGGTAGCAGGGGTCGCCTGCTAGTCTCTACCAAGCTCTTCACACACGGGCAGGGGAGGAAGGGGAAGCAAAAACCTGCTTGACTGACTCCATCACCGCCTGAAGCTCCTCCCATGACCTACATTTTTTCACCTCGCTGCAACACCCACTAGACTCACCAGTCGTTGACGCACGGCAAGACGTGCGCATCTCCAAAGAGACCCTGCAGGACAGCATGAGAGAAGGGAGGAGAGGAGGAGGAGCAGACGTCGAAGTAGTAGTTGCATGTCACTATCGGGACTGACCCGCTCTGCTCGCACCATCACAGCACGCCAGCACCCACAACATCTCGCTGACCTCGATCGCCTCCGTCAGTCTGTAGCTCTCCACGTGCACTCCCTGCCTCCTCCGTCAGCCAAGGGGCGGGAAGGGGAGGAGAGACCTCGGGGCAGAAGGTGAAGGCGCTATCCTCCAAGACTCTCCGGTACTGCTGCACTCCGAGGCCGTGAAAAGGGTCGTCGAAGGTGTGGGTGAGATGCAAAAACCCCTGGAGCTCGCGGGGTTTTCCATGCTTGAAGATCTGATGAAGGTACAGGCAGGGAAATCAGAGCAAACACTCCAGCTGCTTTAGCCTTCACCTCCTCCACCAGCTTCTCACGTGACGTCGAGCAGTTCGCATTCCCAATGAAGTTCCAAACAAACTTCCTACCCAAGATTCCCCTGCAAGACGAGGGCGAGACCGATCCCAGTCTTCTCAGCTCGGAGCTAGCTCAGAGGATAAAAAAGAGTCAAAAGCTTTGTCGTGGGGCATCCAACGCCTTACGGGAGGTAGAACCCTGACTTGAAGCCGAACGGAAGGGCGACAACTTTTTCTCTCATCTCCTCCAGCGCTGGAGCAGCTGGTGATCAGTCCAGCCGGATGTAGGGGATGGGAAGAGTACCTGGATGCCAGCAGTTTCGGAGGTAGAGGTCAACGTCGTCGACCCAATCGAAGGGCGCCAGATACTTCTCGTCACTTGTAAGAAACACTGATACAGAAAACTCCATTGCCTGAGCTCGCTTATCACTATCACATCGTATAATCTCAAGAGCCTACTTTAAACTCTTTCAGATAACTTACGAATGGCTCCCAAAACTCTCGCTTGCCAACAACCGGAAAAGTCTCCTGCTGCTCATGAACAACCGGTGAAACAAGCAAGGGTCCAACACCTGCACTACGATGATTGCGTTGGGAGCGAAGGTATTGAAGTTCGTGTCATTGATAGAAGATCTTGTTTGTCAGAAGAATTCTGGATCAGACATCGCCAAGACAGGGGTCAACAATCGCTCTGACCTATAAAGTCCTCCCAGGAAGTGCTCAATAAAATCAGATTCCATCCCCATGAACTGGCTGTCGTTCCAGATGAGAGACATGGAGGTCAGTCGAGCTAGCTTACTTCCCGTGCCATATGATGCTCGCGGACGCGTCTGACTTCATGTCCTCTGCCGTCCACAGCGAGTGCTCGCGCGAGTGGAATCCTCTGAGCTAGTCAAGCAAGACTTGAGTGAACGGATTACCTGTGCAACAATTCTACGATCCTGTAGTTGTTGAGCTGGCAAAAGAGTTCAGAGGGGTCAGGAGCTGCTGGAGTGAAGAGCAACAACCAGCTCCTGCTCCTCGATTGTGCTGCTCTGCTTGCTGCAGGTACCGGAAACCCTGTCACAACTTATCGTCATGGTTTGCCTTGCAATCTGACAGTCTACTTGCAACACGTCCTAGAGCAGTTGCGAGCATCATGTTCGCACTCTGAATCTGTCTTGCCATGCCCAAATGGTCTGTGATGGTATAGACCGTCAGTATCATGATCAGCTGTGCGTTACATGGAGACCTTGACCCACACACTTGAAGGATCTTAGCTTTTATTTCATCAAGCCTTCGCTCTTGCTGCAATCATACTCGTCAGAAGGAGGCGGATGGAGCAAGAATCCAACTAACTTGCGCGATTTTATCATCAAGAACCTTGAGCAAGCTGGTTTGTCGCAACGGGCACTGTTGAACAACCTTCACAACGGAAGATAAAGAGAGCAACCATCACATCTCTGAGCGACCCGACCCCCTCCAACCACTCTCCGTGGTCGTTGTTGACACTGTAATATGTGATGGTACGAGTCCATGACCTTGTCTGGCGTCAGAGATGACAGCCTGATGTTCACTTGCCTCGTCTCGTCGTCGACGGGCATGAGAACAGCTCGGATCTGATGCTTCCCGTGACTTGACCCCAAAATGTGAAGGCTGCCACGCTCAGTCGGGTGCTGCGACTCCCCAGGTGAGAGGAGAGAAGAAGAAGCGGCATAAAGTTACACGAATCAAAGCGACGAGCTCTGAGTCGTGATAAATGCTGAGATCGCCAGGAAAGGGAGGATGATGTATCTGTGATGGGTATCATCGTAATCATTCAAACATGCACACTCCATACCTCCCAATTGATTTCAAGCCGACCATCCACGTGACTGGAATGGTTGCTAGGAGACAGCAAGATAATCTGAGCGTCTGCGATGAATTGAGAAGCTTTGCTTGCGAAAACCGCATCATATACAATTTCGTGCGAAAAGAACGAAGAGAGATGTAAGTTGTATCAGCCAGCGATTCATTCTCTGGTCTCCTGCAGGCAATCTGTCACTTGCTCCTCTAGTCTTCTCTTCTTCGTTCGCTCCTGTCCTCGCCCCTGTGCCCTCTCCTCCCCCTCCTCGTCCCCCTCCCACTCGCCGTCCTACCATTGTGATCTGTCGGAGCCTTTCGGAGCTTTCAGCCTTGTAGTATGGCAAGGGGTGGTTGCTGTGCATTCAAGGGGTGGTCAAATATTGGTATTCTCCTATGGGTGGGTGGGGAATAGGGTAGGGTGAAATATCAAATCAAATAAGGGGTACTTTGCTAACAAAAGGGGGTGAGAAGAAGTCAGGGAGAGGGTGGGGTAGTAAATGCAGGGGTCGCATCAACTGAGGATCTTGAGAGGCACGTGAGATGTCGGCGAAGCGAAGGAAACAGAAGGTGAAGGAGGAGGAGCAGAGCAGAGCAGAGCAGAGCAGAGCAGAGCAGAGCAGAGCAGAGCAGAGCAGAGCAGAGCAGAGCAGAGCAGAGCAGAGCAGAGCAGAGCAGAGCAGAGCAGAGCAGAGCAGAGCAGAGCAGAGCAGAGCAGAGCAGAGCAGAGCAGAGCAGAGCAGAGCAGAGCAGAGCAGAGCAGAGCAGAGCAGAGCAGAGCAGAGCAGAGCAGAGCAGAGCAGAGCAGAGCAGAGCAGAGCAGAGCAGAGCAGAGCAGAGCAGAGCAGAGCAGAGCAGAGCAGAGCAGAGCAGAGCAGAGCAGAGCAGAGCAGAGCAGAGCAGAGCAGAGCAGAGCAGAGCAGAGGAGGAGAGCCTGATTTCACGGAGACAGAAGATGGAGAGGGGGGCAGTAGGAAAGGGGAAGAGAGCAGGGGAAGGAGGAGGATGCGGGGAAAAGAGGAAACAACTTGGGGAGATTGGGAAGGAGACAGAAGGAGGTGAGAAGGGCATAGAGGGAAGTGGCTGGAACAAGATAATGTAAGAGAGGAATCATGTGAAAAGAAAAGAGGATGAAATGAGGGGACGGTGAGAGCGCATGAAGAAGGAGGATGGAGTGAGGAGGTAAAGTGCAAGAGATGTGGGGAATGGAAGGAGACAGGAAAATACAGTTATGAGGAGAAGCAGGGGACAAGAATAGTAATCCTCGAGTTGAAACCAATTATCATATCCATGCATGTACGTGTGAGTGTTATCATAGCTGAACCAAGTCACTACAGAACGAAATGGACATCGACAATCGAGCAGCTTCTAAACCTGTAAAGCATGTGCATTAGAATTTGAACACACTGACGTTTGGTCAGGACGAATCCAACAATGGGCAACCAGTTCACCCGGACGAGGCGACAGCCAAGGTAGCACACAGGAAACAAGCCTCATGCTCACTGACATCTTTCAAGGACTATTACTTCGATTCGTATGCTCACTTTGGAATTCATGAAGAGATGTTAAAGGACGAGCAACGCACGAAAGGCTACAGGTCTTACGCTCTTGCTCCGTTGTCTCTAGAATCATAATCTGACAGGAACGCCATCATGAACAATCCGCACTTGTTTCGTGATAAATTGGTAGAGCCAAACAACTCCTTCCACTTTTTTGTACATGTTTTTCCTAACGGGTTCTGAAGGTTTTAGATGTCGGGTGTGGTACAGGAATTCTCTCAATGTTCGCTGCTAAGGCTGGTGCCAAGCACGTGTATGGAATAGAATGCTCGGGGATCATTCATACGGCAAGACAGATCATCAAAGACAACGATATGGAAAGCAGGTCTTGTCTTGCACCGCCGCTGCTCGAGCTCTGACCACATGGGGTGCAGCATAACTCTAATTCATGGCAAAGTGGAAGAAGTTGAGCTGCCCGTTCCCAAGGTGATGTTGAGAAAGATGCGGCTTGTAATGATGCAAACACTGATTACTCGAGGAACTGCTTTGCAATAGTCCCCGTGTATGAGAGTTTGCTATATATGTATCCCCAACAAGCGGACAAGAAATAATCCTTGTTTTACGCCACACAATGGATTTAGTGTGCTTGTGGCAAATATGATGATAGTCTCATCTGATTCGCATTGTTCTTTGGACCATCAGATGGGTCTTACGCAAATGTTTCAAACTCGCAGGTCGATATCATCATTTCAGAGTGGATGGGATATGCGCTGCTGTACGAGTCCATGCTAGACACGGTGAGTTCGTTTTCACTTCCCTCTTGCTCATCTCAAAGGCATGTCAGGTTCTCGTAGCCCGGGACAAATGGCTCAACCCAGATGGAATCATCATGCCAGATCAAGCCACCATGTCTGTCGTCCAAGAGAGTTTTGATAAGCTCATGTTGCTCCAGGTACATGGTGGGGATCGAAGATGCGCAGTACAAGGACGAGAAGATTTACTTTTGGGATGATGTGTATGGTTTCGACATGAGGTAATTGATTGTCTTGACCAACCGAAGTCTGACTGTTCTCAGCTGCATCAAGAAAATTGCATTGCAGGAGCCGTTGGTGGACACAGTGAATCCAGAACAGATCTGCACCAAATCATGCGACGTAAAGATAACTCAGTGGTGGTGCGAAGGATGATATTGAGATTTCCAGTTGAAATTCATAGACATCATGACGTGCAAGAAAGAAGATCTTTCATTTGAAACCACGTGGAAACTGGTGACTCTCCGAGTGTTGATCTGCCCAGCTGACGTATAATGAAGACTGCCTCTCGCAACGACTACCTCACAGCCTTGGTCGTCTACTTTGATGTTGGCTTCACCAAGATCCACAAACCGGTCTCCTGCCTGTTTCGATTCCCTGGTATGCGCGCTGACTTCAGCGCAGATTTGGATTTCTACGGGTCCTCGCGCTCCCTACACTCACTGGCGTCAGACTGTGTTCTACCTGCACGACCAGGTTCCAACTTGAGAGATTGACTAGCGCTTGACTCCGCTGCAGCTCACGATGAAGAAAGACGAAGTCGTGGAGGGAAAGTTTGTCTGCAAGCCCAACCAGAGCAACCACAGGTACCCCCCCTTCCTCCTTTATCCCCTCCCCCGATCCGCCCGGCCCTCCTCCCATCCCTCATCCGGCAAGCATTCAGTCGCTTTCTCCCCTCCTCTACTCTCCTTCACACGTCATCATCTAACAAGGCTGTTGGAAGGGACTTGGATTTTGAGATCTCCTACAAGTTCGAGGGTGTCGATGGTGTGCAAGAAGCGCAGCACACGTACCGCATGCGGTAGTTTTGTCCTCAGACGAGAGACGCGAATAAGATAGAAATTGAAATCAACGCGATAAACTTTGAAGCATTCCCTTCGCTGGCATGTCTGTGCATATTGTCCGCATGTTTCGCAAGTGTTTGTTGTTAACAACGAGCTTACCAACATCTGAACCCTCTCAACTGCAGCAGCTCGCAGCCTTGCGTCTCATTCAAGATCTGCTTGCGGATCATAACCTGTCCAACAGGTTATCGACGTCTCCTCCAGCAGCCATTCACCTGTATGAAGGATCTGACGTCGTTTTCTCCTCTCAGGCTCTCAAGGCTCTTGCCCACTTGCTGAGAAGAAAGTCGTCACAAGAATGTCTACCTGGCAAGACCCGCGCCTCCTGGACTCCACCTGGAACTCAGACACGAGAGCCGATCTGACTGACGACGAGAAGGGAGGACAAAAGTCGTTGTTCCTGTCTTGGATCGCCGGACTTTTGAACTCGAAGAATGTTTGCTCGCACGTCTGTCATCAAGACCATCAAACCTGTTGGGTGAGAAAGAACAAGTCAACAGACCTCGTTCCCCTGGGCATCCGTCGCCTTGACTGTGAGGTTCATATCCGCGACGAAGGGTAACGGAAACTCAACCCGAGGGGTCGCGCCGGGCACGCAGTCGACGGTCTGCATAGCCTTGACGGAGAGGTGAGGAGGAGCGCAAACTTCCCACCATCCTCCCACCTTGTTGGAGATTGAGCTGGAAGATGCCACAGAACGAGTGTGCATGGAGAACTCAAAGAACTTGGTGTGTGGATCTTGGCAAGTTAAGGATATGATGGAGCCAAGGGGTAGCGGACGAGCAGGAGGAGGGTCGGATATGACGAGGTTGCGAACGATAACAACTTGCGAGGAGACTGCACGACAAGAGCAGACCAGGCCAGGCCAGACAAGATACAACAAGACAAGACAAGACAAGACAAGACAAGACAAGACAAGACAAGACAAGACAAGACAAGACAAGACAAGACAAGACAAGTCAGTGCGATAAAGACTTGGCAGGAACGAGCTTCTCACTTGAGCTGCCATAGCCGCCCTGATGCGCAATGAAGGTCAAGACTGTCGCGGTTGATGTCAACCTGAACGGCTCCTGCAGTCGCATGAGACGTTACCCGAGCCCGCCTCCTCAAAGCACTCACTGTATACGAAGTCCATTGAATGCGCTTCTTCCATACCATGACGTCAATGAATTCCTGAGAGGAGATCATGGGAGAAGCAACCAATCAGCCACACGAACCATGTCGAGGGAGTAAATAGTATCGTCCGTGCTGGTACGGCAATCGAGCTCGTTGTCTTGTAGGATCTGTCTGTCGCAAATTTTGTACTTGATAGCGAGCTTGGGGTAGAATGTTAGCACAAGCTCAAACAAGAACTCCCTCACATTGAATCTCGCCAGCTCCTCATGAGGGATGTTGGTGCTGGAGGGACAAGCTAGGTCAGCGCATGCGAGCATACAGATACATGTCACCTTATGGTCACCAACTTGGGACCAAACCCGTCGGACGATTGGTTGACAGCGATCAACGGACTCTCGATGCTCAATGCGATGTCTTGCTGTGGTCAAGTCACTGAACGCTCAACCTCCTAATTTCTTCACCGTCTTCTCCCATGGCGAGTCGCAGGTTCTTCTACTCGTGAAGTCATACGCCATGCACGTGTCCGGATTCAGCCCCTTCAATCAGCTCAGCACAGAGGAAGCGGAAGAGGGAGAGTAGGAGGGAGAGAGGAGCAGGAGCAGGAGCACATAGCAACTTACCTGCTTGATCACAATCACTCGTAGAGTCACACTGGCCCACATCCTGAGCGTCACGTCTTGCCAGGTACTCATGCATCTATCGCCCTGCCATCCTCCATCCGCGCATGCGATGAAGCTGCTGGCTTGCGGTGTGCTGCCGTCAAGCGTGTAGAAGACGCTGAAGGGCTCGCACAAGGCGTCACTTCCTCCGCACTTGACTGCCGGATGGTTGGAGACGTTCCAAACGCTGATGACAAGAGAGATGTTGTTGCCTTGTCCCTGGACCTCCAGGGCAGGCTGGAGCATGGCTGTTGAGGAGGAGCTGCAGTCGCAGCACAAGCCATCGAGGAGGAGCTGGTCGAGAGGACACACACAAGTTTGATTCGAGTCCCTCGGACAAGGGTCGCACAACCCTGTTCCTGACACGTACTGTGCTCCGACGAGCAGGTGCATTGTTACAGCAAGCATTGGTAGCAGTACATCCGATCTCATGGTCATCTTTCTTTGCAGTTGCTTCGTCCTCCAATGCCTATCCGTCTACGTATACTCACCTTCCCCTCCTAACTCGCGCAAACTCTCACTGCATGCAATGTTTTGGGCAAAGACATCCTATTCATCCGTCTCTAAAACTCTCTTCACTTTATCACACCTTCACTGACTCCATCTGTCCTTTTCCTCCTCCTCTCCTCTCCTCTCCTCTCCTCTCCTCTCCTCTCCTCTCCTCTCCTCTCCTCTCCTCTCCTCTCCTCTCCTCTCCTCTCCTCTCCTCTCCTCTCCTCTCCTCTCCTCTCCTCTCCTCTCCTCTCCTCTCCTCTCCTCTCCTCTCCTCTCCTCTCCTCTCCTCTCCTCTCCTCACTCCTCTTGCCTCACTCGCTCCTTTCGCCCTCTACCTCCTCGTCAAGAAGCGTTTGACAAGTAAACTATTTTAGCCCAAAGGTCTCAGGGTAGATAATTAAAGCCCGCCTCAATCATTTACATAGGAATTACTTTGAGGCACTTGATAAACTATTTCAATCTCAATTCATAGCGCAAGACAGAAGAACTACGAGAGTCACCTGTACCGCTACTTGGAACCGAGCTGCTTGAAAGAGCGCATCGAGTTCAGAGCAAGTGGAGAGGAGAGGAGAGGAGAGGAGAGGAGAGGAGAGGAGGAGGGGAGGAGGGGAGGGGAGGGGAGGGGAGGGGAGGAGAGGAGAGGAGAGGAGAGGAGAGGAGAGGAGAGGAGAGGAGAGGAGAGGAGAGGAGAGGAGAGGAGAGGAGAGGAGAGGAGAGGAGAGGAGAGGAGAGGAGAGGAGAGGAGAGGAGAGGAGAGGAGACAAGACGAGACAGGGATAAAGGAAACGAGCAGGAGAGGAGGAGACCCTGATCAGAGGAAGAGGGCACTGAGGTCGATTGAGAAGTAAAGGAGTGAAAAAGAAGCTTTGAAATACTGAGGGAGAAATTCAAAAAATGTGTGCTAGTGCTTCAAGCGCAACATCGCTGGTTGATGTCGTCAGTACTACATCATCGCGGTTGCTTCAAGGTCGATCCGCTCTAGCTCCTCTCGCATCTCCCTCACCGTCTTGTACCTGCAAGTAACTTTGAGCGAGACGATGACGGGCATAGGGGTAGACCTCTGCTCGGGGTTCTTGGCGAGGGCCTTGAGCACACAGAGGTTGAGATCGGGGCTGACAGGAAAGCTTGTGAACTCCTGGTTCATCAGGAGGTCAGAGAGGCAGAGGTCCAAGTCAGGAGGGGGGAGAAGAGAGAAGGGATGAAAAGAAAAGAGGAGGAGAGGACAGGAGAGGACAGGAGAGGCTCAAGGGGAGATCGGGGGAGGGAGGGAAGGCCTGACTTTGATATCTGCGATCTGATGTTGGGTGATGGACTCGGCGATCTGGACGAAACCAGAGCCGTTGAAGGGAAGCTTGCCGCATATGCACTGGAAGAGGAGAACCCCAACAGAGAAGATGTCCGACCGCTGGTCCGTCAGGTGCCCGGAGATCTGCTCGGGCGACATGTACTGCGGCATCGCCTGCTGCTACGTTAAACTCACCCCCCCCCCCCCTTCCTCCTCTCCTGCTTCCCCTCCTAATCCCCCTCTCCCTCCTCTGCTTCTTGTTCGTCATCCTTCCTCTTCTCTTCCTCCCCTTCCCTCTCCTTCTCTTCCTGCCTCTTCAACAGTTCACCTTTGTCGGAAGGCGGAGGGAGGAGTCTCGGATCATCTCTGGCTCCCACAGGGCAAGTCCGAGCCCCAGCAGCTTCACACCTGCGCGTGATTGTCAGGTGGACGCGCTAGCCCGGCCTGAGCTGGACCGTCGCTGGAGATGAAGACGTTTGCGGGGTTGACGTTGAGGTGCTGCAGGCCATTCTCGTGGGCCATTTCCAGGCCCAGGAGCAGCTCAATAGCGAGACGATGCACTTGCTGGACTGTCAGCACCTCTCCCTGCTCCTAATTAGCTGGGCAGATTGACAGGCGCAGTAGCGAGTCACCTGAACAGCCTTAGCAGCGAGAGCCTCTGAAAGCGACTGGCCCTGCAGGAATTCGAGCACGACAAACATCCTTCCTTGCTGCAGCCCGTGGTCGAGTGCTGCACAGACATGCTTATCCCTGAGGTTCTCAACGATGCTGATCTCGCGCAGGAAACGCTCCTCTCGCAACCTCCTCCTGTCACTCTCAGCCCCCACGCCCTTTTCCATCAGTATCGCATCGCGAACTACCAGCGCGTTCTGATCTCCCTCCTCGTTCAGGATGACATCGAATCCTGTTATGCTATCCATCGCTAACCAGACAACTCCTAACCCTCCCTCTCCCAACTTCTCCCGCAGGAGGTACCTTCGCTTCACCACCAGCCCGTATGACCATGACTCGAACTGTCCCTTCGCTGCCGAGTGAATGAGGAGGCTGTCTCCAGCGTTGATGTCCTGGAGCCCGAGGATCGGAACTCCATCCATGGAGAATACCCGAGTCACTTCACCTGTGTTGAGCAGCTTCGAGGAGATGGTCAGGAACTCGGGCCAAGTCTGAGGCAGCGTGACGTCGCAAGATCGTTGCGGGTCGCTCTTGAGGGAGATAGTGATCTGAACTCCCTCCTTGGTCACTCCGGATTCGAAATTGCTCTGCTTCTCTATCACTCGCGGGACCGCCTGCGCCATGGGCCCGACCTTGCTGGTACCCTCACCAGTCCTCGCCTCCTTCTGCGCCATAGCTTTCCTCAGGCCATTCACACTCTCCATTGTCGAACTTTCCCCGTTCATGTGGGGTGGGGTCCCTCGCATGAGCTCGACGTCGTAGGTGATGCCGTCCTCTTCCGGCCTCACAAACCGTAGGAAGACGGTCGTGCCCTCGGGCCCGAGGATCAGACTTGACACGGGGACATCTTGAACTAGGATGCCGTTGACATGCGTCAAAACGTCTCCGGCGCGGATCATTCCGCTCTGGGCTGCTGCCTGATCAGGCAGCAGCCGGCGGACCACCTGCTGCCGGTTCTCGTTCTCGCGCAGCACCAGCCCCACTCCTTTCATGTTACTCTGACTGACAATCGGGGACGACACAACAGCAGCGTTAGGGGGAGGAGAGACGGGTCCAACATGCACATCCGCCCGCCGCACCAGCCCAGTGCTGCTAGCGTTCCTGAGCGGACTCTTGGCGTCGGCGACCTGAGCCGCCAATTCAGCCGCGAGATGCTGCGGCGTCCGCTGATCCTCGTCGTCGACAAGGATGTTGAGGTCAACGATGATCCCTTGCGAGCGCTGCAGGCCGACAAGCTGGATGCGTCGTGGGTGTACCGTCAGTGAGTTGGCGACATCCGACTTGAACTCGATGTTGAAGCTTTGCAAGCGCTCGGGAGATGTGACGAGAGTATCGTAATCTTCATCTAGGGACAAACTGACCCCGACGGCTCCAGCAAGGATGTCTTCCATCCCCTGCCTGCCACTGTCGAGACGAGGAGACTGATTCACGCTCCCATTATTGGAGGCTTCTCGACGAAGAACTTCGGCGATATAATCGGCTGATCCTCTCAGAAGGTTGATGCTGATCCTGCTTCCATCGGGCTTCTCGAACGTGAGGTTCACGACGCTGCCTTGGGGGCCAGCAATCAGATCTGCAAGCAGCGATGAAGGAGCTCCCTTGGCAATGTCCAGGGAATCTACATGGGTCAGGAGATCTCCAGGCTCGATCTGACCGCAATGTGCAGCTGCTTGTCCTGGCTTGAGACGTTTGACCGTATGGCTCCCATCAGCTCTCTCCCTCAGCACAAGGCCTACACCAACCTTCACCATCTTGCCTCGCTGATCCTCAAACGCTTCCATCCGAGGGACTTCCTGCATGACCTGAAACTGCTGATCCGGCACAGGGGCGCCAACCGCTTGTTGTGGGAACGGGTGAATGTTGCGAGGAGGCTCCTTGGGAACGACAGCTTGAGCTTTCCTTGGGGGGGAGTGCGGGATGTTTGCGACAGATTTCCTCAGAGTCTCTTGGTTCGCTATCACCGGAACCACCTCAGTCTGCATCACCTGCGGGCGCCTTCGCAACACAATCTCCACTGCCTGCTCATACTTGGCCCTCTTGATCAGGAGCGTGACATTCGTCCCCACCGGACCCAGCAGCATCGGGCGGACATCGATGGGCTGCAGTCCTCGCACGTCTCTTCCATCAATCGCGACCACAATGTCGTTTTTCTTCAGCTTGTCTTCTCCAAACAGATCGTTGGGCTTGCAATACGCTGCTGCACCCCCATAGAGAAGCCGAGCGACGACCAGGTTGCCGTAGATGTCCGATGCAAGGACAGCCCCGATGCCGACGAGATTCTGGTTGAAAGAGGCGAAGGACCTTCCGGATTCCTGAATGGGCTGTCTGATCAACTTGACTATGCGCGAGTGAGACGAGTTGAAGCTCTTGATACCAAGACTGATCATGGTTCCAGACTCTCCCAGCATCCAGTTGGGAAGGTTGTCGGGCCTGATCGAGGCCACCGCCTGCCCATCAATGCTTGTGATGATGTCACCCGCATTGATCTGCCCACTCAGCGCCGCAGGGCCGCCCTGACTTGGAGTGAGGAGGAACCAAAAAAAACCTCTTCCTGCCTCTCACCTGTATCAACTCCGACACAACTGCATTGCCATAGTTGTCTCTGTCGACTACACAACCAATACCCACAAAGGGATACTGAGATTGCATATAAGCTAGATCAGACCAAATGTCAGGTTCAATCAATCACAAGATGTGATGCCTGTTGACACTGTCATGGCCTTGCAGCGTACGGCAAGCGAGCTCAGAGGTCGAACTTCTTCTTCCACCCACCTCCTTTCAAACGCAAGAGATCAATCAGAAGAATAGGTCAACATACTTCAAGTCTCATATCACGCTGAAGTACAGTCTGTCCTTGTCGAAATTTAATGATCTGATTGCAAGCAAGAATCTGTACCTGCTGCCCAAGTCGCAGTTTCCTGCATGCTCCTCTATTCATTCTCGTTCATCAAAGTTTCTGATTGTAGATCTCTGCCATCGCCCAAGTCTACTCTCTTTCTCCCTTTCTCTCTTTTCGTTCTTCTTTCTTCGTTTGTGGCGTCAATTTCTTTCTTTTCATTTCTCTCTTCCCATCATTCATCTTCCCATATCTCTTCTCTTCTTTCTAGTATCAATTCCTCTTCTCTAGTCTCATCTTCTCTCTTCATTCCTCTTCCTCACTCATCTTCTCTCTTCATTCCTCTTCCTCACTCATCTTCTCTCTTCATTCCTCTTCTCATCGTCGCCATGCTTTCATCCCAGCATTTTTCCTCTGCTCCGACGACCTTTGAACCCTATCCCCACATCCCCGCACAACCCACCCACGTCTTTGCTCTGCCTCAAGGACCCCTACCTCCTATCACGAGCCCATATGCCAGGGATATACACCCCTTCTTTACCCCCTACCACGGGTCACCGGGTTATTACCAACATGGTAACTTGTCACTTCCATGACCCCGTCTCTTGACCCACTTGACCCCTTCTAGAGCCGGGTACCTTATCATGACCCTACCCCTTACCGTACTGAAAGCTGTGCCCTTGGCAAGTGCGCCGGGTGCCCCAGTGCTGCCTCGGAGGTGATCGGACTCAGCATGACGGTCACTCGCGGTCTGGCATCATAAGGAGGGTGAATCAACGGATACGGTGGATCATCCGGTGCGGCCGGGCAGGCTCCCGGAGTGGCAAGTTGTCGCCCGCCCGCCCAATCATCCACGAGCTCACTGAGTCAGTCAGTCAACGGGACGGGGGGCCGCGTGGCGGCAGGTGACTCAGTGACTCTCAGTGACGCCGGAACTAAGTTCCGAAGTTCCGAGTAAGCCTCGAAACTTGACTACAGGGCTACGCGGCCCGGCCACGTAGTCCTGAATTCGAAGTGCCACACGTGACAGGCTTCGGCTTTTAAATTCGGTTCAACCTTTTAGTTCTCACTCCCACCCAATTGACATTTGCTCACAACTGAAAAAGCACTGGCAAACTTCAACTTTTCATGCAGTGCCGTGTTGATCACATGTACAGATGCTCGGATCGAAGTGCACCCGCCGCATAATAAGAAGGCTTGCGAAACTCAGGTTAGGGAGAAGGTCAACCAAAACCTGTTTGAAATTCACCTGTCCAGAGAGGCTCGAGGAGAGAGTGGGTTGTCCCGAGAAGCTGGATGAAAGCGCAGGTTGATAGCTTGCGGACATACGATTCTGACTCTCTGTCGCTCTGTATCTGCAACTGCAGTGTCAGGAACAATCTCCACCTCTGCAAGCTGGACCTGGCAAGAGTCGCACTCTCACGCTGGACTGCCTCCTCCCTCATCTGCCTCTCCTGCACTTGATGAATGAGGGGTCGTACAAGAAGAAATCAAATCTGCCTGCATCAAAGAAGCCCGAACTCTAGACACTTCTTGTTCCAAACGCGCTTTTTCGCCTGTAGGCAATGTGTGAGCGATATTGATCAGTGTAATGCACAACAAGGACCTGCAAAGGAAGCTTTGAGCTTCCTAACGTTCTCAAGGAAACCCTGCTCATCCGAGTACGCTTTCTGTACAAGTTCCTATCGCACAAGTTAGCTCAAACAAGTCACTCGTCGGTAGAGGCAACCTGAGTCCTGACGCTCCTTGCCCTGAGATCATTCAGCGAAGCCTCCAAACTTCTAATCTGATTTCGAGATGTCACATCCTTTGTGATATGGTGGTTTTAGTCAAGTCACTTGTTACCTGTTCTCTTTCCCGGAAGATCCTCAATTCAAAATCCTGCTTATCTTTCTCTGTAGGAGAATCATGTTCAGATAAGATGAAAAACAAAATTGACAAGGTCAAAGGTGTTCGAATGAAGAGGGAAAACAATTACGTGTAGTCAAACCAACAACACTCGAGAAATCGTGTAGAACTACATCACACACCTGCTGCGCGAACTCTTGCCTCCAATGCCAAGTAATGCTGCTCAGCATCTTGCTTGCTCCTATCAAAGACGACCTTGCATGCGCGTAAGATGAAACCCCCTCTTCAAGAGTCCTCACTCTGAGAGACTTCAGCTCCTCCTTCTCATGCTTGATATGCGCCTCTGCTAGCCGAAGAACCTGGGATAAAACCGAAAACATGAGCGGATCTTTGCTCTTCAATATTGAAAATGCAGAATATTACTGCTCGCAACCAGTCGTTCTCCTCCTGCAACGTCCAGGAACGCTGTGGGTCAGCTTGAGCTGAAAATTCTTGGACACCTGTGCAAATCCCAATGAGTGTTGTGAGACTTGGCAAAATTATGGAGACTGAAGGTGTTTCTATGAGGAGAACATATTCGTAAGTTTCACAGCTATCTTTTTATCTTCATACTTCGAATCCTTTCCAGTGCAATCCCCAAAATTTTCTCATATACGAACTTGAATCTCTCATATAGACACGTATGAGTCTACATCAGAGCGTCGTCTATCTGTCCTAACCTTTCTATCCGTTTCCACCTCAGTGATTATTCGCTTCCTACCACTGCTGGATCTTTCTTCTTCATCCCATTCTCCTCCTCGCCTCCTCCATCATAGCTTACCGTTCGCCATGTCGGCGAGGTTTGAAGCACCCACCCCTCAAAATTTTCCCACCCCAATTACAACTACCCTTACCTACCTAGAGTACCCCTATCCTTCATAGTGACACTACACCCATCTTGATACCACCCGTGGTGAATTCTTGAAAATAATACTACCCACCCATTCACGACTTCAAGGCACCACCCCTCATGATCATGTCAAATCACCACCTACCCTTGGAGGATCCTTACCCCCACCCCCACATCCTACTGTGAATGACCCCCTTCCCGAGGCGTGTGGTCCCACCCTGGCGGGTACCCTTGTTCGTTACGGAACAACGTTCAGATCGTTACAGTAATAACCGTTACAATTGTGCTACACCTGGATTGCTCTTCAGAATTTGACAGGCTCTTGGTGGAAAAGTTGGATTTGTGATCTTAAATTTTCAAATTATGAAGGACAAAATGTTGAAAACAGGCTGGAAATAAGACCTCAAAACCGTGCGAAAACCTCTCTAAACAAATTCATGGCAGATTAGCGAAGAAGGAAGCGAACCCGGAGGAGAGGGGAGAAAGGAAGGGGGTGTAAGGAGGGCGTGATTACGGGGAAAGACCAAGAATGCATGAGCTGTAGAAAGCAAGAATCTTGAGGAAGTTTGAATTCACAAAACTGAGTTCATTATGGCGAAATCTCTTCCGTAGCATCGACCTGGCCGTTCTTTCTTGTCTCTTATCATTCTTGTGTTTCCCTCCTTCATCATGGCACTTGTCGTCATGACATCTTCTTGTTGTTTTGGTTGAGTGGGAATGAATTCACCAGTATGTTAGGCTTGAGATAATGATTGGTTCTCTGTTTTCCGGGTTCGACAAGTCCAAAACAAAAGCGAACATCAAGTTGTCCATACAGCGCATGCAGTGAGTTGATTGACGATCATCCATGCGTGTCTGCTCTTGACTTTGTGTCGAAAGGCTTGTGCGGAACAAGAAGCTGCAATACATTGACGGAGCTAAACGAAGAATAAAAGATCTGCTGCTTCAAAACAAAGAAGAGCAAGCACGTATTCAAGCGGAGAATGTAAACCTTCTGCAAATCTTTGACCCAAAGTGGTCAGAACGTGAATTTTCTCTAGGTTGTGCGGGAAGAGGCTTATGCGGATGGTTTGGATAGGCTGATGTCGCAGTGTGAACTGTTGCTTGCGAGGTTTCAACTAGTTGAGAGCGAAAAGCAGTGAGTGTTGAAAGCTTTATCTCCTGCTCGAACTGAATGGCTCAAAAGCCTTTCTGATGACGTCAAAGAAATGGTTCTCACACTCATATGGGCGGCACCAAGGCAAGAGATCGATGCTCCTACTTGAAATCTCGTGATGTTAACCTTTCCTTCTAATTTGCAGGCTTGGAGAGGATGTCAAGGAATTGATAAAAGTCAAGGAACAATTCATTTCAAGATACGGACGCAAAGCAATCGAAGAGGCCATGAAGGTGGTCATCAACCACAACATGCGCGATTGCACTGGTGTGACCCCATGCTAGGTGGATGATCCTCAGAATGAAGGGCGAAACATTCGAATCGTACATCTTTTGAGTTACAAACGTCCCACAGAGCAAGAAGTCAGGTACTGCTCGCTTGTACTGCAAGGGATCATCACTGACCATCATGATCGTGTGGCTGCTCCTTCAGCAATGTTCTCTCTTCCGTGGCGAAGCAGTACAACATCAACTGGACCGACGAATCGCTGCCGCTCGAGGTTATCTTGTGATCTACCTGCTCACTCAACACCTTACTTACATGTCCTGCCGTCTTCTCGCCCCTCCAGGTTCAAGGGTACGTGCCGTCAGTGCCCTCTGCCGATGAGGTCAGCGGTGGGGCATCCGGGGAGGAGGGGAACGTGAAAGCTGCGGTGGATGGATGGAATCAGTCCAGGCCTCCACCCAATACTCAAACCGCCGGAGGCGTTTGTACACATTGCGGTCACGGGATGGCCAAAGAGGCAGAGCCGGGCCTTCCTCCTCCTCCTCCTCCTCCCTACGACCAGCCCTGCCAGCACCATTGCGATCCGGATCCGAAGCAGCATGTGAAGGGACAGATCGTGCCCCCGACCTTCTCTCCGTCCGCTCCTGATCTGGACGAGACAGAAGGCAAGCATGACGCGCCTGCTGTTTGTTTCTTACCTGATCCTCTCTCAGGTGGGTCAACTACAGAAGACCCTCCGCCCTTGGACGAACTGGAACGACGACTGGCAGCTTTGCGAGGAGGCAAGTGAAACGAAATCCCTTGATGGCGCGATAGCGGCTTCTAATACAATCATGGACGATGTTGCAAGTGAAGACGTGAGGGAGAGACGAGAAAAGAGCGAGGGTGTTCACATGGGATACTTGATCTCCTCCTTTCTCAATCCGGGTCTGCTCCTCTTGTCATAATGAGGCTACCTCAGCGTCCCACGTGTACTTTTCCCCTGTTGAAATAGCGACAGAGTAATGAACATTCAAGAAAGTCTCAGTGTTGAAATTCCATCATCTCTCCATCCATTCAAGATTTCTTGCAAGCTCTGCCCTCTTCACTGCACCTTCTATCTCCAACTCTCAATCCCCCCAGCCCCCCCCCCTCCCTTCTCTCTATCCTCTCCTTCTCTCTATCCTCCTCTCTCTCTATCCTCCTCTCTCTCTATCCTCCTCTCTCTCTATCCTCTCCTTCTCTCTATCCTCCTCTCTCTCTATCCTCCTCTCTCTCTATCCTCCTCTCTCTCTATCCTCCTCTCTCTCTATCCTCCTCTCTCTCTATCCTCCTCTCTCTCTATCCCATCTGTCTGTTCTAGTCCTTCTCTCGTCCTGTTTCTGCCCTTCCCACGACCCTCTCCTCTCGCATAGGTACCCCTGGCCCTCCCCCTCTCCCTCTCTCCCACATACTCGATTTTGACTAGTTTGACGAGTCGTTGAATTCTTCCATCCTTCGGATCCGGATGCTTTCATGGCGCTCCCTCGCGCTGCTCGCGCTGCTCGTGCCATGGAGCCGCGCGGGCATCATGACGGAGTATGGAGACCCGAGGAGAGACTTCTACGATGCTTCCGTCTCCTGCTCTCTCGCCGCCTGGCTCAAGCCTTCTCCCTCCATGCAGGTTGTAAGCGGGAAAATCCTTTGGATCCGATCGCCCACGAGCCTCGTGCTCGACAGCAGGGCAGAGAGGAGCGTGAACGCTTACCTGGGCGCCACCATCATCATCGGAGGGGAGAGCAGGGTCATAACCGCCTACACAGGTGACGCCAATGGCGATGGGGATGTGAGAAGCGCTTGTGCTAGAGGTCTGGGACTGAGTCAGCGGCAGGTACAGGACGACGGGGATGCAGAGGTCTGGGTCGACTCGCCCTTCCTCGCTGCAGAAGCTCTGCAAGCCAACGTGACTCGATACAAGATCATGCACGGATACTCCATCACCGAGAGATTCAACTTATTCCATCGGAACAAGTCAAAGAACAAGTCAAAGAACAAGTACAAGAACAAGCCCTCTGATAGCGAGTTCTCCGTGTCCGAGAAACAAGTCTTGAAGCAGTGGACAAGCGCTTCCTACCATGTCTTGTTCGCTGGGAGGATAGCAAGTGCCATGGCTCAAGTCGATCTCATCCTTCGCGAACGTCTGCCGGTGAAGGAGGAGAGCCTGGTAGGGTTGAGTGTGCAGGTCCGAGAGAGCACTCGACCGATCGTGAGGTACAGCAGGAGCGAGCACAAACTCTCCCTGTCCTCGGCCTTCGAGTTTGAGATCGAGCAGGAGGAGACGTACAAGATTTTCACTGTGACGGCAGCTCGGGTCCTGAGCTTTCCCTCCTCTGCAGGGCGAGTGCTCCGTGCTCCTAACGTCACCTCTCGCTTCCGGGTTCAGATCCACCAGCCCGGCGCGAGGACGCAGGAGGAGGTGCTGGGGCGAGGGATCAGCTTCGAGAGGGAGGGGTACTGGGAAGAGAGCCGTGTAGTGCACTACGAAGAGGAGGGCTGGGCGATAGTAGAGGAAGTTTCCCGGCCGGTGGACGAGTCAACTCGGTTCAGGACGCTCGAGGAGCCGCCAACGTTGCTCGTGTCGAACAACTCTCTGCTGCGACCAGACTCCCTCCTGCTCTCCGTCGCTATGTCCGGTAGCTCCTCCTGCTTCCTCCTGAATTTCTCGGAGGCCGACAGGAGAAGGCGAGACGTCAAAGTTGGGGATGAGCCATGGGAGGAAGGGAGGAGGAGCAGAGAGCAGACGCAGCTGCCGTCCTCTGACGCCAACGACATCGCCGACGATGCTCGCTCGAGCTTCTGCCTCTTTGCTGTCACCAAACCCTCTCGCCCTCCAGTGACGAGGGGAGTGCTAGAGCACGAGACAGTGCTGCGAGGAACCCTGCAGCAGGAGGAAGCGGGAAGCACAACCTTAAAGCTGCAGCTCGAGAAGAAGTTGCGAGGAGACGAGCTGAACGGGATGGTGCTGGAGATCTTGCTGGGAGGAGGCGAGCGCATCGCAAGAACCGTGACAGAGCAGCAGGAGGACGGGACGGTCACACTGAATCAAAGTCTTCCCGAGGAGACAAGCGTGCAGGGCCGTCAGTTCGTGATCCGGACGGTGTCGCACGGGAGGCGCTACCTGACTCTGAGCGCGTCCTCTCCTCTACTCGCTGGCAGCATCGCCGGCAAGACGCTCCTCATCAACGGCGAGACTCGTCGCGTCTCTCACTACGGGGCCTCTCCTCACAGCAGCCTCGTCAACGGTAGACTGGCAACTCTCGACCAGCAACTTTCGGCCGACGTCACACCTGGGGTCGACTCCTACTTCATCTACGAGCCCAGCTCCCTGCTCTCCTTCAGCGCCTCCTCCCGCACAGTCGACTTCCTGCATGCCGGCATTGACGCCACCATGTCGCCCGCCAACGGCTCTCAGCTCGCGCTCTATCACGAGGTCAGCATGTCAGACCCCTCCATGCGGCGGGTGGAGGTGGTGAGGGCAGGAGAGGGCTTCCTCCCCTCGGGCTCCTTCCTGACTGCCGCGGGAGTGAGAGGAAGCTACTCGTGCAACGAGGGCGGAGGCATCGCGAGCGTCGAGGTGGTGGAGGAGGAGGCGCTGACGACTGACCGGAACCTCGAGCTCGCCATCCGCTACCCGCCTGACTGTGGGGGAAGAACGATCGACGTCTCCGAGTGCTCCACGACCTCGCAGCTCGGGAGCGTGACGACGATGGAGGTGGTGGAGGGAGGGGTCAACTACGTGGAGGGAGAGGTGAGGCTGGTGGAGGGGTCGAGGGGGGAAGGGCTGGCGGGGAGGACGCGGGTGAACGACCAGGGGAAGGTGGTTGAGGTTTTCTTCTTGGACGCCAAGTCGCACGGGAGGGGATGCGACGAGGCGGTGGAGGTGGAGATTGTCTACGAGGGCAGCGAGAGGAAGATGGAAGGTACAGTCACGTCCGTCGAGGTTGTGGACGGAGGGATGGGACACGCGCAAGGGAGGATGAGGATTGTGTGCGAGGCTCCTTGCACGGGGAAGGGGCTGGAGGCGACCTGTGAGGTTGACGACGACGGAGCCGTCGCAAGCGTTCGCATCCTGGATCACGGGAAGGGCTACTCGTTCCAGCACCCTCCCTCCCTCTCCTGCGGCTCTTCCCTTAGAGAAGCTGTCATGGTCCCCAAGATCGCGCATGGAGCGAGGCTGGTCGGCACCTCAGCTCGCCTCCTCCTCCTCTCCCTCTCCTCCCATCGCCGCGTGACGTCCCAGCAGTCCGTCACCCGCGTCGTCGGCGTCGACGTGGGGCCTGGGCGGCTGGTGGGATGCCGGGAGGGGGAGGAGCTGTTCGGGGTCGGGGGGCACGGGCAGGGCATGCGCCTCCTCCTCCTCTCCTCCTCTGTGACCGCCAGCTCGCACGTGAAGGTGGTTGACTCCGGGTTCGGATACTCAGCTGCTCCCCAGCTTGTCGCGAGGAAGGGAAGCTGCAAGTGCCTGACGGAGAGCTCGGGAGCTGGAGTCGAGCTGGACGGCTCGACGCCCGGGAACCTCGACCGGTGCGTGAGGGCCGTCGTGTCGTCGGTAGGGGCTGGTGAGCACGCGAGCTATCGCTGACCCGTGGGAGCAGGAGGTGACGGTGGGGGAGAGCTGGCAAGTGGAGGTGCAGGTGCTGGACGGCAGCAGGGGCTTCTACTACAAGTACGTCGGTGGGCTTCGGCCCCAGAACCTCGTCCTGCAGGTGCCCAGCAGGAACTTGTCAGACCTCGTCCTGTCGAACTTGTTCCTGGGCGCTGCTGGGGAGCAGGTGGAGGAGGGAGGGGCTGCGGCAGGGAGGAGGGGGTGGCAGGGGGAGGTGCTGGAGATGCTGCTGTACCGATGCTCGTCGGGGACAGCAGCCAGCAAGGACTACATGGGATGCCTGCGGCCAAGAGACGTGGACCTGGTGGGAAACTACCTCTCCTCCCGGTTCTCCCTCCGATGGGACAGCGCGGAGGGAGCGGCGAGGAAGGGAAGGGACGGGGACCTGGCGCTCGCCGTCCTCCGCGGCTCGTCGGGGTCAGGGGCAGTCCCGATCCTCAGCAAGGTGAGGCCTTGCGCTGCCATGGGAGGACGAGGACAGGAGATCAGCATCTTCGGGAAGAACTTGGACGGGGAGCAGGAGAACATTCGGGTGGAGGTGGGAGGGAAGGCGTGTGTTCAGGTGGAGGTGAAGCAAGTCAGGGCGTCGGGGGAGACCATCCTGACCTGCCGGGCTCCTGCTGGGGAGATCGGGTTAGCGGATGTGAGCATCAGCATCGACGGACTGTCGAGGACGTTCAGGAAGCGCTACCTGTACGCTCCTGCTCTCCTCCACCTGACGCCTTCCAGGCCGTCCTGCAAAGGAGGACAGACTCTGACTCTTCTCGGGCAAGGCTTCTCCTCCTCCCCGCTCCCCTTCAGCATCGCCATCGATGCTCACAGGAGGCTGGAGTGCGCCAACAGCTCGATCGTATCAGATCACATGCTACTCTGCCTCCTCCCCGTCATGCTCCGACGATTCACGACCATCTCACTCGTCACGCAGTGCGGAGGAGGAGGAGGGAGGAACGAGTCAGCTACGTCAGAGCTGGGGTTCGTGCTGGTGGACGCTCCAGCCTTCGTCGATGAGTGCGAGAAGGAGCAGCAGCGGGACAATAGAAGCTGCATGGAATGCTGCTCGGCAAGATGTCCTACTCCCGTTGAAACGACAAACTCTTCATGCTCAGACATGTGCGAGGAGTTCTGCAAGACTTGACAACAGATGTAAAGAAATGTGTTGAGATGTGAAGAAATGAAGACAAGATGTGAAGAAATGAAGACAAGATGTGAAGAAATGAAGACAAGATGTGAAGAAAGGAAAGCAACAAGTGAATCAGAACGAGAAGTGAAGAGATAAGGATGAGAAACAAACAAAAGAAGACATCATCAAGATCGATTAGCACCCTGTAACAACACCAGGCGACATGTAAAAAGTTAAGAAATCTTCAATCAGATCGAGAACTTAAAGTCTCTGACTCTAAATTACAATCTCACCAAACCTCCAAGATAGCCATCACATCTCCATCATCTACCGAGATGTCCTAACAGCACGTCATGAGAGCCGGGCAAGCACTTCTGCCCTACCTTGATGCGCCCTTGAGAGGTCCTGCCGCGTCCTGCTCTGAAAGTTGAGCGCCGACTCGCGGGTCTTCCGCAGGCGAGTCAACGTTGACTCGATCTCCAGGGTGTGAGGAGACGGCTGACGAGTCTGCGACCCCATCAGCCTCCCGTTCTCTCCTCCTCGCCCCCTCCCCTCCCCTTTTCTCTTCTCCCACTGCCCAACTTCCATCTCCTCCTGCCACCGTCTCCTCCTCCTCCATCCTCACCATGTTGACAGCGGCTGGTTCCAGCAGGGAGGACTCGCTGAGAGGCAGGTATCAGCAGCCGTCATCGGATCAGAGGAGGAGAACTTACTTGAAGGAGGAGTCGAGCCCTCCTCCTCCCTCTCCCCTCCTCTCGCCCTCAGCCGAGACCGCAGGGCTGCCATTGCTGTCTCCCTCTCTCTTGCCCCCTCCTCCTTCCTCTCCCTTCTCCTTCTCCCCCTCCTCCTCCTTCTCTCCCTCAAGTGAACGACGAGACGAGACTCGGTCAGTGGAGGGAGGAGAGGACGAGTCGTCGGATTCACTCCTGTGGTCACGTCAGCCGTCAACGTCAAGTCCACCAGCCACTTCACCTCTGCGATGCTGAAGCTTTCTGATCCTTGCTTTGATCGTTAACCCACCCATCCTCCTCCTCCTCCTCCTCCTTATCATCACTATCATCATTCCTCCCCTTCCTGTCCTCCTCCTCCTCCTGCTCCTGTTCCTCCTTCTTTCTCTTGTCCTTCATCACTCTCTCCGCACTGTCTGTCTTCCTCTCCTCGTCGTCTTCCTCTTCCTCCTCGGATTGTCGATAGGATTCCGACGTGTCGCTCGATCCCTCAGCCTTCTTCTCATCATCAGAAGACTC